AAGCATGTCAGGAAAGAACATGAAATACAGAGCTTCAGGGCATAGCTTGAGAGTAACGTGGACAGTCCAAGGACTTATCTGTAAATCTATTTGTATGGTGGACTAAGGGGTCTCTCAGGAGGAAAATATCCTTCCTAAATGTAGAGAAGTGTGTATCACAGAATGAGTTGGGCCCTGTTAAAAAAAAAAAAAAAAAAAAAAAAAAGCCTGCATTTGGAAAGGACTGGGGTCATTCAGAGTGCAGCATGTTTGTTTCATGAGTTCCAAGCCCAGTCAGCCGATCACAACAATATGAAATGTCTGAGTGCTGCAGAAAGGGAAACTGTGTGAAGAGTATTGGTTTGGTACTCCCCGGCCCCCATGAGTGTATTTAAAAAGGAGAGAGAGGAAAGAACACATACTTTCATACTTTGCCACAGAATATCCCACGTCCTTGACACAGGGGACTTCATTACACATTGCTTGTGCTCCATGGGAAACTTTTCCCTTATCCCCCATATAGCCACCCCTAGGACAGGGTTCAAAACTAGAAACAAGTAAAATCACCTGTAGATGCTACATAGACAATCACCTGTCAGATACATAGAAACTGACAAAAATTAGGTGAGATGGTGTGCAAGATATTTCCTGAGATCTCTAGAAACATCAAATGTAGGGACTTTTGGAAAGAGTTAGGGTCCTACAATAGAGCTAAGAGCAAAAAAAAAAAATACAAGTGAATTGATGTGGTCTGGTCAGTGTTTTAAAATTCATAATGTGCAAGAACACTATTTTAAAAATAATTAAAGAGCTTTTGAATTTAGATGTCTTATAAATACCACCACTATTTATGTTCCTTAAATAAATTGCAAAGGTGAGTTCAGACATTCTCTACACTGTAAGTGAAAAGTTGTTCATAACAGCAGAGTCTATAAATTATAGATTTTTAAATATAACTTAGAATCTGATGAACTGTCGGTTGATATGGAAATAGCCTGTATAGTTTCACCCTTTCCATATCTTCCTCCCACTGCTGAGCATCTTCTTTCAAATATTTCAAGATTGTGATTAAGAGATCAATTCTGGAAGAGTATCAAAGTTTCATCCTAGAAAATGCCAATGAGTCAAATTTCAGAAAGAAAACAACAAAGGGGAAAAAGCAACTATATCATAAATGAGCATATTTAACTTCATCATTTATGCATCGCAAATGCACTTTATTATGACTGTCACTGTTTTCTAAAGGATTTTCTCCTAACAGACCTTGAAGCTTTTAACTACTTTTTACATTTCTACAATTACCTTATAATACTTCCAAAACTTTATTTCCTTTAAATGTTAATTGCATACTTAAAGGTTAGTTAAGTGAAGGTATTGAACCAAAATGCCCTTTCCTTCTTGCCAAAACATAACCTTTCCTTTTTCCTTATAGCTTCATTAAGTCAATTTAGTAGTAAGAGAGCAGAGTTGGGTTCACGTGATTGTCTATAATTTCCCACATAAATGGATTGGAGCCAATATTTCTTTTCAACAATTTATGATTTACTCCTTCAAATAGATATAATTACAGTATATATCAGGATTGACCATACGTATGTGTGTGTGTGTATATATATGTATATGTTTGTATCAGTATTATTTTAGCTTATGCTCACAAATATTTTATTTCCCTAAAATTTCAGATAAAAAACTTATCTCAAAAACCCATGGATAAATCTCTGTGGTCTTAACTCTCCCCCATTTTTTTGCATGGTCAAAAATCTCAACCCATTAACTATAAGAATTTCTTATATACTTTTCAACACTTTTTTATGGCATGAAAATCTGTGTACATATTTAATGTTCTAAAATGAATTCACGTATTTTTTTCTTTGCTTTGAGTTTAAATGGCACATGTGTTGATGCAAGGTCTGGTTCTATACTTATTTTGTGATTCCTCCATCCATTCAACTAATACATACAAACTGCTGACCATGTGACTGCTACATTACCCTCTGGAGATTGTGGCTCATGAAGATTATAGGTCTTTAAGAACCATGCATTCTCCTGCCTACTATAGTAGAACCACAATCAACATATGACTGATAGTAATTTTTGTTCCATTTGATCCAAAATACATTTCATGTCAGGTGGTCATGCTACAATTTTGAAATTACTAACATTCTATAACTCCAAAAATAGACACCAAGAGTCTTCTAAAGCATGTTAAAATGGTGATTAACTGGCCTAAAACATTCAGGGAGTTTTTCGAATCCTCTTCTTGGAACCATTCCTTTCAAAAAAATATTAGCTGGTGAAAGGTCACACGCAAGCAATGAAAAACTCATTTAAAATGAGAAAATTCCTGACCTTCGAGTATCACAACTGTGCCTTACAGAGATGCTGCCTTTCACAGTTTTTCTACCTATTTAATCTTCAACAGGGTGCAGGTAGGGGAACTTGTCCTAAAGAAATTATTCTAAATTCTAAGGCTTAACATTAACTCTGTTCCCTAGAAGGCTCATTGATTCTCTAAGGATCAATACCACCTCAGCACTAATAATACAAAATGAACAGCTCCAGCCCTCACTACTCTTACCCATCTACAAGTTCCATGTTTCTAATTGACATTTCCACCCAGATGTCCCATAATTAATTCAAATTGAACAAGTCTAAAGGAGAATTCATTCTCTCTCTGACCTCTCATCCCTCTACCACTTTTCTATTCTCCTAATGGCCCTACTCTGCCAACAGGACTGGCATCCTCTCGATCCTCTAAGCTTTCAAATTGTCGATTATCTATCATTCAATCACAGTCTTTTTTGGGTTCAAGCCTTCTTTTATATTCTATATCCAAAAATCTGGATCAGGCAAAGCACATGACTTTTAAATATTTTCTGATTTAAGTTCAATTAAATTCTTCAAAGCATGCTAGCTCTGTAGTAGACTAATGGTAGTAGATTAATGGAGATCACAGATATATTTATAACTTCTGTAATTATAGAAGAAAAAATTATAACTACTTTATACATATAAAATTTAATTCCTGCTAATGTCATGATCCCCTTTGCAGAAGAAATATATTGCTTTCTAAAATAATTTATATAATTTACTATTAATATGAAAGACAATTACAAAAAGTATTCCTTTGGTACTAATTATCTTATATTTTGATTATATCCCACTTTGTATTCTAAAATACAAATTGGAGATCATATTAAGACATGATTTAAAGAATTAAGTAAATATAGAACATACAAAATAGTGACTTGCAATGAACATTGAATAGGGTAAAAGGTGTGCATGCCCCTGTCTAAACGCAATATATTCTTCCTTAGTACAATACAAATAATAATTGTCATTACTATTCCTTTACAAATTACACATATTTCATACATTTTAAATCAATATATTTAAAATAAAGCATAATATACATTCTCATAATTTAAGAGCCCATTACACAACAGATTTGTATTAGCCAAAATAGTAACAGTGTACAATATTCTGTTTATGCTTACATTAGGTATCACCTTATCCTGGCCATTATGAACTGCCACAAATACAAGGGTGCATTATTATAAAATAATGTATGTAGATGCTTCCAAGCTGATCCTTACCCCAATAATAAATAAATTTATCTGGGATAACTTTAGAGTTTCAAGAGGGCTAACTTAAGTCTGTAAATGAGAATAGAGCAATACACTTTATATGGATTAGCTCAAAGGACTATGTGGAAATTTTATCCAATTACAAAAGGGGACTATGTTATTGCTATCCCCAATCATTTCATTTTAAAAAGTCAGTGTTTCTCTTTCATGATTTTTGATTGGGCATATAAAATTAACTTTATGTATACTAATAAAACTAACACACTAACAGAACATTCATATAATTAAACAAAACATGCTATGCAGATTCAAAACATCTAATGGAGATTCAGGGGTAGAAATACTTCATTATCTACAAAAACAGTCGTCACCCAAACATGAGGTTGCTTCTATTTCCAAGTGCATTATAACACTACTGAATCATTTCAATTAATGCAAAAGGTTTATGATAGAAAATGTCATACATTTTTGGCTATCATTAAAATTAATGACTTCTCTGTTTTCATATAAATACTTGTTATAAATACCTGCATCTAAAACAAATATAAAAGTATACAGTTATCACTCAGATTAAAAATAATCAACATGAAACATCCATAATATCCAGGACATTTGAATTATCAGGTGTTCATACCAAACTAACAACATGTTTTTGAACTAAACAGAACAACATTTGGTATCTGTGGAACTTAAAATTCACTCACCTAAGCACGGTGGCAGAGCAGTATCTAATCACTTCTCCAATCTCCAATGAAAAGGATATATGGATATTTTATAAAACACTTTTAAGCAACACAGTTGACTACTTACCTAGTCCAATGAGCAGTCAAACTGACTAGGGACTGTCAATTTACAAAACATCTAAATTGCAATTTAAAATTCTTTAAAAATACTTAAATAAAAAGTAAAGCTGTTGGAAACAACCCAATGCCCAAAAATTGATGACTGGATCAAGAAGATGTGGTATATATACACCATGGAATATTACTCAGCATTCAAAAAGATAAACACATGCCATTTGCAGCAACATGGATGGCACTGGAAGGGATCATGCTCAGCGAAATAAGCCAGAAAGAAAAAGAAAAATACCGGATGGTCTCACTCATAGCAGGAATCTACAAAACTTAAATAAGGGACCGGGAAAAAGAATAACTATAAGAAAGTAAAAATCAAAATCAACAAACAACTATGAACCAGAGATACTCTATGGGGGGTGGGGGGCGGGGGGGAGGGATTGGGGACAAAATAAGGGGGTCACAATTGTATGGGAAATATAAAAATAAAAATATATATATAAATAAAATAAAAACAAAACAAATTTATCAGGAATTGAAAAAAAAAGTAAAGCTGGCAAGAAATTATAGAAAATTCCCATAGTTTTTTTCTCTCTCTCTTTAAGAAAAACAGAAACAAAGACTAATTCAGAGATATAACCAGACACTGAATGTCTAGAAGTGCCTAGGAACATCTATCAAATTCCAGACTGCAAAAATATAAAATTCCTACAATATCAAGTGTTATTCCAGGATATAGACCATCAGTTTTCAACACCTTCTTGCAAAAATAACCTGGGAACCTTTTTTTGAAAAAAACGATATATCCAGAACAGTCCCAGCAATCTTAAGAAACATGAACAAAGCTGGAGGCAAAATACCACCAATTTATGAAATATTATAAAACTACAGCAATTAAATAGTACAGTATGGACATAAAAGACATACTACAGTAAGAAAAAACAAAATTAAAAATAAATGTCAGAAATCTGTCTGTAGAATTGTGGCTCTCAAAAGGGGAAAGGGAGGGGCCTCCCTGGTGGTGCAGGCTGTTGAGAGCTGCATTGTGAAGCTGTCCGCAGCCTCTGCAGCACATTGTGATCCCAGCCAGCCAGTGAGAATCCCACATGGCAAGCAGACCTCTCCTGTCTCGCCCGCTGCTCCCTCAGCAGTGTATTTCATCACTC